GCTCGCGCGAATGGATTCGTTCCACAGGACCCAGCTAAGGAGCATTTTCGACATGCGATACCCTAAACGAATTAGCAATGACACTCTGTATAAGCGCTGCGGAGCTGTCCCCATCACCGAGATGATCACAAGGCAGCGCTACAGTCTCGCAGGCCATATCTTTCGTTTGGCCCCAACTGCTCCTCCACAGTTGGCAGTGGATATGTATCTTCGCCTGGCCAACGACAAGGGCACTGAACGCTTCAGGGGTCGACCTCGGACGACTTTGGTAACGGTCTTGCAGACGGGACTGTTATCATGGCATGGACTTACCCTCCACCAGCCGCTAGATGTTGACGCAGTCCGCACAATGGCAGCAGACCGACAGGCATGGCGTGGAGCCCGCCCCACCTAACAGGACTGATCAGACATGTTGTATGCATATTTCTATTTTATACTTTGGATGAAATTTTCCATTAGTCATATTGGTATTGTTGCTAACGGCTTTTGTTGACGTCACTTCTGTCATTTCATTGTATTGTATTACTCTTCAGACATCAATCCTGAATGGCATAAGCGAGGGTGGCACCCACGCCACCTACGCGGACATGCTTTAATAGCAAAGTTCTGCAGAAGTGCAAAAACAAATTGAACAAATCTCGATTTGTGCGATCGAATGATGATATTTTTGCGTCCTGAAACTGGCCGTGTGCCGACCACTGCGTGCCATCGCAGATCGACAGATTCGATCTAGTTGATCAACAATCAAGATCAGAATCAAAATCGGAACAATCAAGTGGTTTCCATGTGTTCAAGATGGTCTTGCCAGGTTCTGCTAAAGATCAGGATGTCGTCTAGAAACATCATTATGAACTTGAGAAAACAGGGTCGGAATATATCATTCATCAGGGCCTGGACGACTAAAGGAGCGTTTGTTAAACCACAATCATATTACACGACAATTGAAATGACCAAGTGTGGTGTTTATCGCCCTCTTTGGTACGTCTTCTTGACGGATTCAAATTTGATTGTATTCCGCGCGCAAGTCAAGCTTGGTGAAATAGGAGCTACCCTGAACGATATCGAATAAGTCGTCTATATTGGGCAAGTATGACTTGTTCTTAATTGTGATCTTATATCTTGTTCAAGTTCCTCCAATCACAAACCGACTGTAAAGAAGCGTCATCTCCATCGGTTTCTATTGAACTGGCCTGTGATTCCGCCAAGCGTGCCAAAGCTGCTGATGCAAATCGTCGCGTGGAAATTGAAGACCTGGTTTGCGCTGACGTTCGTAGTATGCTAGATACATCAACTGTTCGCCAGCTTGAGCACCTTTCCGCCAAGGTTGTCTCTGGCTAGCTGAACACTCTGCCCTTGAAGGAGCATGGATTAAGCCTGTCGATGTGTGACTTCCTCGATGCCATTGCAATGAGGCATGGATGGACTCTGAAAGATGTACCATTAACGTGTGCAGGGCCCAATGATTGCACAGCAGCACATGCCATGTGTTGTCTGACGGGGGCTTCCCCACCGTCAGGAAAAATGTTATAATATTACGAAGTGCGTGACATCTTTGCTGATTTGCTAACTAAAGGTTGCCCAGACATAGCGATTGAACCTTTGTTAGCTCCCTTTCAGGGTGAGGTATTCACTGCAGCCAGTACTCTCACAGCAAATGACGCAAGTTTGGACATTCGTGTACTTCGAGTACGAGGGTTTTGGACTTGTACGCAAAAAACATTTAAATTTTTTTTATCGATGCACGAGAGGCATCTGCAACACGAGAGGCAGGACAAATTTCATGTTCAGCATTAGAAATTTACTCTGCTTGTCTTTTCCACGGCTGAAAGAACATCCCCAGAATGTTTCAAAAGCGCTTGCGTGGCATGTTGGCGCAGCATAATGGCAAACCCTATAGGCATGTTATGTCATACCTGCTATGTCAGCTATCCATTGCCGTACTTCGCACAACCATCATGTGCATAGGAAGAGCGCGCTCCGCGAAACATCGCCCTGCTAATGCCTTGCGCCCCTTGGCGATGGATTTATTCTGTGACAGTGCTCGCTTCATTGAATTTTGTTGTGTTTGAGTAGGGTTCCAATTTTCTTATCCCATTCTTGCTTTCATGCAATTGTTCATGCAGTCCTTGACTTGTGTTCTACTCCTCCTATTATATGTTTACCGCCTGGTATGTTAGCGGCCATCGCTGAACCCAAATATTCGCAAATACTTGTTTGACCTTTTCTCCTCTCCCTTTTTAGAATCATGGCGAATAATCAACTTGCAAGCCTTCCTACAAATGTATTTGGCAACCTACCAGCCCTTCAAACCCTGTAAGTTAAGCCTGATTCCGGGTTGTTGGATCCAAACGCACCCCAGGGTTTGAAATATTTTTACTTTGCTGCATCACATCTCCCTGAAACTTCATGTATTTCTCACAGACACATTACCCGAGGTAAATACTCAATCTGCGGATAGACCTGTTTCGTCCTTTGTGGACTCATGAGCGCAGAACAGAGGAAATGAGGCCAACCCTGGTGGCAATGAAAAATAAAATTTCCAAAGCCTTATTTAATTAAACCAGGCCCGAACGTACCCTGTCAGAATGCTCAAACTGACAAGTGAATGAGCTCCGGGGTAACGCAAACGGCAAAAGCGTTACCCCACACTAGAGTGCTCAACTGCTACAAGAGCAGGAGCGGAATCCTCAATCTGCTTACAGACCTGTTTCGTCCTTTCTGGACTCATCAGTGCAGCACAGAGGAAATGAGGCCGAAACTTATAACAGGAGAAAATAACTCAATCTGCGGACAGAGCTGTTCCAAACCTGTTTTGTCCTTTGTGGACTGACTCATCAGCGCAGAACAGAGAAAATGAGGCCGAACCCGATAGCAATGAAAAATAAATTAACCCTCATGCCACACAAGATTGTGTCTCCAGCATGAATAATCATGAGCCTGTGATCGGTAATCAAGTATGACGTACATGTACTCAGTATGAGGTCATGATTATTATGATCACACATCAGAGAGGCAAGGACAACAGAAGCGACCCGCGGGGTCGTGCGCCGTCGGAACGGCTACGTGTACTACTAGGTTGCTATGGCAGCGGAACACTAAAATCTTAGTTCTCATGAATAGTTCGATGGTGCCGATGTGCGTGCACTATGCGACGCCCATCAGCAGCACCTGCGCCTCCAATAAAGTTACCGAATGGCTTGCGACACACAGGCTCTAGTAGTGCTGTGGCATGCCTGCAGACTTGCGAATGTACGTGCAATATGCCCTGCTGGACCAGCGGACTACCGGAATCAGGGCATACACTGGGGCGCCTCGATCCGCCATGTGTGTGGCTCCCCGGTGCGCAAGGAATGGCTGCTGATGCTTGAACCTAGCACTTTGTGTAGGACTGCCTTGATGTCGTTCGGCTTGAGATGGCGACCATCCTAAAATTTGAAGAGGGGTCGCTTGTTATTATTTGCTGGACCGAACGTAAGTCTCCAGGGCTCGGACGGGACATAAGGCTGGGTCAGCGTAGCGATGCAGCTCTACCTTCAAGCCTGTTTGTAATTGAGAACTGCCGGGGTAGGCGCGAGTATTATTGCGCCTTATTGTGCACTCATGAAGTTGATTGTTCCAACTAGGAACACACGCTTCTTGCCGAACTTGACACTTGACTGACTCACGACTGCCATCCGGAGCACACGAGGAGCACGTCGCACCTTCCACTCGGCAAACCTGCAAGAAAGCACCACTCCCTGCTCAATACACGGTGTTTCGGGGAATTCACCCCTCATCAGTTGAGCTTGAGTAGGCTGAGGAAGATTGTGCCTGAAAAGCACCACTTATATACTGCTCTCCAGGCCAAACCATTACCAGGGATACAAACTTACAGAGACGCTTTGTTTCCAGCGCGACAAACACCTCGTGAAGCTCCAGGTAGCAGCGTGAGTCAGAGTCGCTCATGGAGTTGTGAAAAACAGACGTTGAGAGCCAGTATAGCTATTCGCAACGCTGTCACCTCCAACAACTAGTCGCACGTCCGCGTGAGGGACAACAATACGAACTTAGAAGTTGCGACTTCGGCGGTTATAGTCATGAAGTTGATTGCTCCAACTAGGAACACACGCTTCTTGCCAAACTTGACACTTGACTGACTCACGACTGCCATTCGGAGCACACGAGGAGCACGTCGCACCTTCCACTCGGCAAACCTGCAAGAAAGCACCACTCCCTGCTCAATACACAGTGTTTCGGGGAATTCACCCCTCATCAGTTGAGCTTGCTCCGGATGGCAGTCGTGAGTCAGTCAAGTATCAAGTCTCCACGCTTGCTGGCCGAAGCCCCATTGACCGTGACGCGTGCGTACTCGCACACGTCAGCCGGGCTTCTCCACGTCGCCTTGCCTCGCCCCCGCCGGTTCCGTGGAGTTCCGGTTTTATTTCTCCTTGTTGATTAGCTCTCCCAAGATTGAGTGGTTGTTTTCTATATCCTTACCTAACTAATTCATAAGGAATGGTTTGCTCCCCACACCGGAGCTCGCGCTATTCCGCCGACTTTACTTGATACTTGACTGACTCACGACTGCCATCCAGAGCACACGAGAAGACCATCGAACCTTCGACTCGGCAAACCTGCAAGAGAGCACCACTCCCTGCTCAATACACAGTGTTTCGGGGAATTCACCCCTCATCAGTTGAGCTTGAGTAGGCTGAGGAAGATTGTGCCTAACTAATTCATTTCCAAGTATCAGTCCTTTTATTTACACTACTGTCGGAGTCCGCCGTTGTGAGTGCTGTGTGCAGGTGCGGAGTAATAGTAGTGGTGAATAATTGTTGTGCGTGCGTTACACAACAGAGTGGTGCCGAAACCCGCCTTGGATTTGAGGATCGTTGGGGCGTTCGTGTTGTAGTGTTCACCTGTGTTGGTGCGTTTGTGGCAGTGGTCGGTGCCCGTGCTTGTTTCCCGCAAGCTGTTCTACTAGGGTTTAGTATCGTTATTCGTAGTGTGTTCTGTTCAGTATGAGTCTCAAGCTGGGCAATTTCCTTTGTCCCTTCAAGGGCAAGGGGGACGATTTCAATGCATTTCTCTCGAAATTTGGTGTGTTGGCCAAAATATCAAAATGGACGTCGGACGACGACAAGATGAAACACCTTCCGCTCTTTCTGGACGGCGACGCTTTTCTTGTGTATGATCGATTGTCGGACACCGACAAGGCAGATCCGGATGTCGTGTTCTGCAAGTTGTCATCTGCGTTCGCCGTGATGAAGTCGCAGGCATACGGCCTGTTTGTACAGCGTAAGCTGAAACCCGATGAGTCGGTGGACGCGTACGTCTCCGATCTGCAGCGGTTGCTGGGCCTGTCTGGTCACAGCGCGACTGATGATGCGGATACTGTCGTGATAGAACAGTTCATCAGTGGGTTACCCGTAGAATTTATCCAGCCCCTGCGCATGGCCACTGCTGGGAAAAAATTGAAAGTGTCCGAGTGCGTGGAGCAGGTACGTGCTCTACAAGCTACGCATGCTGATTGTATACGCAGTCCGATGGTGGTCGCCAGTGCTGCAACTGGAGGTACTGGAGGTGCGTCCCGCAGCGTATTTTGCCACCAGTGCCACGAGCCTGGACATATTCACCGGAACTGTCCTCGCCGAAAGAGGCACCATGATCCTTATGGCGGTGGAGAACGAACATGCTTCTTCTTCGACAAGCCTGGCCATGTCAAGTCTGCGTGCCCGGAGCGCAAAGCTTGGATGGCGGCCTCCGCTGGCAAATCTGCTGCCAGGGTGTCAAAAGCTGACAAGAAAGCCCCAGTCCTGTGCATTTCAAGTGCCTCTGGTCCTGGCACCCTCCCGAGAATGCATGCGGACGTACGTTGTTGTGGTGTCAATTGTAACTGGGACCGTGTCACTGCTGTTATTGACACTGGGTCAACCCATACACTGATCTCTGCTAGCTGCACCTCAGTACTGCCGGCCAACTGCCCGGTCGATCGCACGTCGAATGTGCTCGTTGCCTTGGATGGCCAACTATTGCCTGTCGTTGGGACTGTTCGCCTGATGCTGAAACGTACTGACGGCCCAGTCCGTCTCTCACCAATCGAGGTTACAGCCACTGTCGTCAAGAGTTTGGATGCTGTGGATGCCTCCGTGCTCATCGGGACAGACATCATTGCTGCAGCTGGTGGTCTCAGCCTACAGTATGACGATGACAACTTATTGTGTGGTGTCCGTTTCGGTCAGGCCGTGACTGCAGATATTCCAGGTACTCCTCCGATGGTGCATCCTTCTCCGTATGTGTCGTAAGCTCTGATGGTGATGACACTGTGTTGCATACGGATGATGGTGAGGCCAGATGGCGTGCGGACAAGCAGTACTGGGAGGTGAAATGGTCCTGGAAAGATGTTGTTGCACCCAGCGAGCCTGTCGGCCATGGCATCGGCGAGTATTCTCGCTCCAAGCTGACACCAGACCAAGAGGGTCTTTTCCAGGCCGAGGTTCAGAAGTGGCTGGATAGTGATTTCCTCGTTCCCCATGACCGGGAACTTCATGGTGACCCTGTGGCTGTTCTACCCTTGCTGGCTCAAGTACAGGAGCACAAGGGCACCACACCGGTCAGACCGTGTCTGGACTATCGTTTCCTGAACCGCCGTCTTACTTCGCAGCCTGGTGGCGATGCTCCTGTGTGTGAGAAGGCCCTCCGACGCTGGCGAAGTGATGGCCGCCCTGAAGAGTACTGTTTGCTTGATATCCGCAAGGCGTATCTACAAGTTCGTGTCGCTCCGGACTTGCTGAAGTTCCAGACAGTGATGTGGAACGGCCGTGTCTACACTATGACTCGGATGGGCTTTGGCCTCAATGTCGCTCCGAGGCTGCTGACGATGATTGTCCAATGGGTCACGCGCGACTTTGCAGGCGTCGATAGTTACATCGACGATACCCGCACGCCCATTGCATGCCGTGATGCACTCGCTACTCGTTTAGCCGAATTTGGTCTCCCGACGAAACCTGCCGAGCCACTCATCACTGCTCGTGTTCTTGGTCTGCAGCTGGCTCAGGACGACGATGGCATCGTTAACTGGTCGCGCCGCGCTGGTGTCGGTCTACAGCTGCCTCGGCCTGCTACCAAGCGCTCGTTATTTAGCTGGTGTGGTCGTTTGACGGGGCATGTTCCTATCTGTAACTGGCTCCGTCCCACTTGCAGCTTCTTCAAGCGACTGATTGGTGCGAGCACCGCCTGGGGTGACCCGGCCCCCGATAATGTCTTGCGGCTCTGCACGGAGGTTGAAACCAAGCTGCAACAGCACGGTGACCCTGCACGTGGTCGGTGGTGGACGAGCCCTGACGGTGGTTCTGACTGTGCTGTGTATGTCGATGCATCTGTTGTTGGCCTGGGTGTAGTCGTGTCCGTCGATGGCCAAGTGATGGAAGATCGCTCGTGGCTACGTCCGAAAGACGACAAGCGGCATATCAATGTCGTTGAGCTGGAGGCTGCAATCAAGGGCCTTTCTCTTGCCGTGGCCTGGAAATTCTCTTCTGTCCGTCTGGTCACCGACTCGAAAACATAACTGCCTGGCTCCGTGATGTCATCAACAGTCTGCGCCGTGTGAAGACAAGCGGCCTGTATGATGTCCTGGTTCAACGCCGCCTGCAGATCATTGCTGACCTGATTGTCAGCGCACAGCTCAGTGTCACCATCGAGTGGGTAGCATATGCCGCCAACCATGCTGACGGCCTGACTTGAGTCCCTGCTACGTGGATCCAGCTGAGTAAGAAGTTGACCGCTACTGCTGATGCACTTGCCAGTGTTAGTGCTGCCGTGACAACTCCGGTTGCCACCATTGTTGGTCCTTGCTGTTGACTGACATTACTTCTGCTCAGAGTACTGACCAACTGATTTAGACTGTGATCACTCAACTCGAGCAGGATCTGCCTGTTGCTCGTGAGTACAGCAAGGTGAGACCCCAGTCAGTGGTCTGTGATGGTGTTCTGTTTCGCAGTGTGAAGTTGCCTGTTGACGGCCTTGTGCTAGTGCCTATCATTCCAGTCTCGGTTATCTCTTCTGTGCTGTCTGCCGCTCATGTCAATTCTGACCATGGTTCGTGGTCCACGATGTATAGCTTGCTGCGCTGTAGCTGCTTCTTCCCTGGCATGGGTAGTGCATGCGAGGAGTTTGTTGCCAATTGCGCTGATTGCCGTGCTGCCAGTCCTCTGCGGGGACCTGCTGCTGCTGCCTCTTGACCTGATATCCCTGGTCGTCCGTGGGGTGAGGTCACTATCGACACTCTTGAACTTGGTCTCGACAAGAGTGCGACTCATCATTGTGTCTTGGTTTGTGTCGACTCATTTACGAAGTGGGTTGAAGTCATCCCTCTGCGTCGTCATGATGCCGTGTCTGTTGCCGCTGCTTTCGCTGGTGTATGCAAGCTCTGGGGTGCCCCCGACATTGTCCGCATGGATACGGCACGGAATTTCGTAATGCCATTGTGGAGTAGTTGTTCACTCTTATGGGTGTCCGTGTGCGTACCGGTGCTGTTCGTCACCCTCAATCGCAGGGCTCTGCTGAGCGTGCCAATCGTACTCTGCTCGGCCTCATCCGGAAAGTCCTCGATGGCTCTTCGGACTGGAGGGGTGAATTGGATATGCTCCTGTTTTTCTATCGCAATCGACCTCACAGTGCCACTTGCCTGTCGCCGATGGAAACCATAGTGGGCTGGAAACCCCCTCACTTCATTATTGCGGACACCGCCGAAGCGTGCAGCCTCAGTGACTGGGCCACGAAACATGCTAAGCGGTCTGCTCGGATTCGTGATCTGATCGATGCTGAGCTCTCGGCGAGCGACTTCGTCGAGGAAGAGTCACACTGTCCCTATACTGTTGGTGATCACATGATGTTGCAGCGTCCAGATCGCCATCAGAAGCGCCTTGCACCCTATGAGCGTGGCTGGACAGTGAAAGCAATCGTAAGTCCAACGACTGTGGTGATTGAAAAGCCAAGTCCGGACAACCGCTGAGTGTCCGAGAAGGTTATCAACATTGCCTTGTTGAAAAAGGATCTTCTCGATGCTGCCGATGAAGCTGCCACAGAGGCTAGCCTGAATAGTGACAAGGAAGATGACAATGGTATTGGTGTCACCATTGATGTTGCTCCAACTGCCGGATATGCGCTACGACCTCGTGGCCAGCTCCAGGCGCCAGCACGTTACCGTGTGTGAGAATGACTATGGTATCAGGGGGAGAGTTGAAGTAGAATAGTTCGGCGCTCTCTCCACAAGTATTTGATACCATACTGCACGTTTATTTATTGCTTCAAGTTATAGATTTTGAATTTGTACGTCGTGTTCTTCGTTTTGAGACTTTGCTTACCGTTCTGTTCTTTATCCATACTCTGCATTCTGTGCGCCTGCTCTGTTCCTTTCTTCTCTTGCTATTATAGTGTTTCCTTTCTTCTCTGACTCACACTGACTGTAAATTTGCCTAGTTTCAAATTGTTTCATCGTCTGCCAGATCGCAGAGATCGTTTCCTGCATTGTAGCTCACGGTTACTTTTCGAACACATTTTTGCGTAGGCTTTTTCACGAGTTGTGTTGACGTCATGCCCTATCAGCTACGCGTCATTAATGCGAGCATGCGCATTGCTTTTGCCTTCTGCCTTATTTGCATGCTGCGCTTGCTGCAAAGGTTAGCGTCCACACGCTTGCTGGCCGAAGCCCCATTGAACGCGCCGCGTGCGTACTCGCACACGTCAGCTGGGCTTCTCCACGTCGCCTTGCCCCGCCCCGCCGGTTCCGTGGAGTTCCGGTTTTATCTCTCCTTGTTGATTAGCTCTCCCAAGATTGAGTTGTTGTTTTCTATATCCTTACCTAACTAATTCATTTCCAAGTATCAGTCCTTTTATTTACACTACTGTCGAAGTCCGCCGTTGTGAGTGCTGTGTGCATGTGCGGAGTAGTAGTAGTGGTGAATAATTGTTGTGAGTGCGTTACACAACAACCCAAATATTCGCAAATATTTGTTTGACCTTTCCTCCTCTCCCTTTTTAGAGTCCTGGCGATTAATCGACTTGCAAGCCTTCCTACAAATGTATTTGCCAACCAACAAGCCCTTCATCGCCTGTAAGTTAATGCTCATTCCGGGTTGTTGGATCCAACCAGACCCCAGGGGTATGATTTTTGAAATATTTTTACTTTGCTGCATCACATCTCCCTGAAACTTCATGTATTTCTCACAGACACAATACCAGAGGTAAATACTCAATCTGCGGATAGACCTATTTCATCCTTTGTGGACTCATGAGCGCAGCACAGAGGAAATGCTGTTTTATTTTACTTCACCAATTGCACAGGCATGATTGCCTTCTTACCGGCCTATAGGTCCGGTTTTCACAGAATGATGAAGGAAATTATATGAGGAAATGTATAGAGATAAAGACATGCAAGCGGTATGATTATTATTATAGAAATGTTTGTTATGACATTGTGTGTATGCTGACAAATAAGGCCAAACCTGGTGGCAATGAAAAATACATTTTCCAAAGCCCTATTTAACTAAACCAGGCCTGAACGTACCCTTTTAGAGCGCTCAAACTGAGAAGTCAGTGAGCTCCGGGATAACACAAACGGCAAAAGCTCTACCCCACACAAGAGTGCTCAACTGCTACAAGAGCAGGAGCGAAATCCTCAATCTGCGGACAGACCTGTGGGTGGGTGGGTGGGTGGTTGGCAGGGTTGGTGGGTGGGTGATTGGCTGGGTGATTGGCTGCGTGGGTCTTTGGGTGGGTGAGTGTGTGTGTGGGGGGGGGGGGGGCATTCATGCACACTCACCCACCCAAGGACCCACGCAGCCAATCACGCAGCCAATCACCCACCTTAGCCAATTTATAGCACAGCGAGCTTCAGGTACGAATATTCCAGTCACCATCCATGAATGCAAGATCTTTCGCAAGGAGGATAGCATCTCAGCTCGAATTGTTGTTAATCACGCCAGCTCCAAGACACTGCTCCAGCGGAAAATTTGGCCATCGCCTGTTTATTGCAGACTTTGCAGCTTTGACAAATATCTGAACTCTGCGTAAGACCATGCTGCTGGTCAACAATCTGCATCTCAGTCACACCCATAATGACCGTTCTGACCACTGCATTCCTCAATGTATGCAGCCTGCGGAGGAAGGTCTCTGAGGTCCAGGAGTTTGTGTCCTCCAGAGGTATGCATCTTCTTGGAATCGCGGAAACTTGCAAGCGTGTGTGGGCGTGTACGCGTGTACACAAGCTCGCACACATGCACGTGTATGTTCGATATTGATATGTTGCCTATCCCATGCTCTCCTTTGGTGCTGCCACGTAGAAATCTGTCGTAGATCCTGTCAGAAGTGCATGTGGAACTGGCAGTTACTGCCATCATGTTCATTCTATCTTTCTTTCAAAGAAACTCTCGTTTTCAAGTTTTCAGCATGATCTCTCATAGGATACACATAGTATTTTGTGCAATAGCAACTGCTCCTTTTTCCTGGCAATCTCCGGCATGACATGGAAATTGATCACCTTAGCCAGTTTATAGCACAGCGATCTTCAGGTACGAATATTCCAGTCACCACCCATGAATGCAAGATCTTTCGCAAGGAGGATAGCATCTCAGCTCGAATTGTTGTTAATCACGCCAGCTCCAAGACACTGCTCCAGCGGAAAATTTGGCCATCGCCTGTTTATTGCAGACTTTGGAGCTTCGACAAATATCTGAACTCTGCGGCAGACCATGCTGCTGGTCAACAATCTGCATCTCAGTCACAACCATAATGACCGTTCTGACCACTGCATTCCTCAATGTGTGCAGCCTGCGGAGGAAGGTTTTTGAGGTCCAGGAGTTTGTGTCCTCCAGAGGTATACATCTTCTTGGAATTGCGGAAACTTGGTTGAAGCCCGATATCAGTGATGGTGAAGTAGCTATACCACATTTCAAATTGTTTCGCAAGGACAGACCAGATAGACCTAATGGTGGAGTAGCTGGCTGCTGCCACAAGACCCTGGCTGTTCGTCGCCGCTTCGATCTGGAAAGTGAGCTGGAACTACTATGGCTTGAGGTTATAGTTCCCGGCCATGACTCCCATGTTATTGGTTGCTGTTACCGGCCACCTAACAGCCCAGCTGCCTTCTGGGCATCACTAGAACACAACATCGAGCGAGCTGTGGAAGGCAGGCAAAAGTCTACCACGATTGTCGGCGACTTCAATGTGGACTTTGCCCAGGATCAGCCATCTGCAGTACCTCTGCGCTCTATTATTAGCCGCTTCAACCTTTCCAACTATGTACCATCTCCCACCCGAGTGACCTCCCATACAGCTACGCTGCTGGATTTACTCCTTTCATCAGCTCCACCGGTTGGCAGCTGTGAAACAGTATACTTAGACATGAGTGACCATTTTGCGATTCTTGCCCACTTGCATATTCCAGTGCCGAAGCACAGCTCATCAGCACCAACGACCACGCGGCGGTTGCACCTCGTTGACTGGAACCGCTTCAGCGAGGACGTCCAGCGCAATCAGCAGGCATTTCCTGACAATGGCAACTTGGAGGACATGATTACATCTTTCACTGAGTCTCTTCTATCACCATTAGGCCACCACGCGCCTCTAGTTGCTCAGCGTGCTCATCGACGTCTCCCATGCCCATGGCTGACGAATGAACTAGTTGTGGCTGTACGGAAGCGCAATGGCTTACACCGGAAGTTGATGCGGGACCAGGGTAATGCAAGATTATGTGAGGAACATAAATCAGCTCATTCTGTGGCTAGGAAGCTTGACAGGAAACTGCGCAACCAGTATTTTACCACCCAATGCCAAACTACCAACCAGAGGAACCTCTGGAGGTACTAAATACTGTCACAGGCAGAAGGAAGAAATCGCAAATCCCTCAAGCGCCTTTGCCAGAGCTAAGTCGAGTGTTTGGCGGAGTACTGAATGATCCAACACGTCCACCCCACCTCCAGCTGCCGTTGGGCCCAAGCCTCCTATCCAGCTTATATGTATTTCAGCCTGTCACGGTGACAGATGTCGAGTCATGCCTGAAATCAGTGGATGCAAGCAAAGCCACGGGCAGTGATGGGATTCCCGGTTTCCTGCTCAAGCAACATGCCTCTGTTCTTGCACCGAATCTCACCAGCATTATCAATTTGTCTCTTAGAACTGGACAGGTTCCACCAACCTTCAAAGTGTCACATGTCAGTCCCTTATTTAAGAGTGGCGACCCAACACTGCCCCAGAACTATCGTCCAGTGTCTCTCCTCCCCATTATCTCCCGTATTCTGGAGACAATGGTTAAGAGACAGCTCACTGCCTATCTGGAGACACACCAGCTATTGCCCGACAGCCAGTTTGCTTATCGCAAGCAACATTTGACTGAGGATGCACTTGGTTTAGCTGTTAATCGATGGTCCACTGCTAGATGCAAACGAGAGTTCACTGGGACAGTGTTCGTTGATATGTCGAAAGCTTTCGACCGTGTTAAGCATGAACGTCTAGTTAAAGTTTTGTTTTCCCTTGGTATAGCTGGAACTGCATTAGAATGGTTCACTGACTATCTCTCAGGGCGTTTCCTGAGTGTCAAAGTTCTTGATTCTGTTAGTGAAGCCGTCAGTTGCTCCCGTTGTGTTCCACAAGGTAGCGTCCTTGGGCCACTGCTTTTTGTGCTCCACACTAGTGAACTCCACACCATACTGCCACCGTCGGTACAGCACCAAGAATTTGCAGATGACATTGTCATCGACTGCTCCCATTCTGATCCTGCTGTAGTGTGCAGAACCCTCACGCAAGCCATGACAAACCTTGCTACCTGGCTGGAGGACATTGGCCTGCTCCTCAATACTTCCAAGACACAATTGCTCTTCATCCGGCCACGAGGTGCGGCTGCAATACAACCGGAGGTCTTCTGCAATGGCGAGAAACCTTTTGTGACCCCTACAGCCCAGTACCTTGATTTAGTCCTGGATAATGATTTATCCTGGGCTCCACATGTGGAGTATA